TGAATTGATTTATGGAAAGCTCAATAAACAATTTTCTTTGGACAGATTAACAAAATACAAACATGAAGTAATGAGAGAGGAAACATTCAAAGACTAAGAACAAAATACAAGTGCAAGAAACTATTGATTGCTGAATCAGAGATCTCGGAGTTTTCTGAGGTTCATCGGAGATATATATTTTGTGTCCCCATCGAGCAATTGTTTAGCGACAATTAGGTTAGCAGCCTCACTTGGGTGATAAGGATCCCAAAATACATGCTTGTTCCTGTCCGAACACATACTAGATGTTGGCCCGCAGGGAATTATTCCAGCAAACTGTCCTCCATTTCCACAGCACGCTTTACTCGAAGTTGTAAATCCTGCATATAAACAGCATATTGAAGAAAACTCGATCTCGATTTCTATTTCTCAACAAATTGAGATAGTTTTGCTGTCAATACTCACCATATTTAGCATAATTTATAATTAATTCCATGACAAGATCGTAGACATTGGCATGCACAAAAGTGGCTCCTGGAAGGTTTTCGTTTAGTTCCTGGACAAGATCCTTCAATCTGGCATTGTACTGAAGTGCCAACTTATTTGGTAATTCCACACACTCGTTTTCATCCAACTGATTAATGGTTTTCTGATAGGGAATGCATCCAAGGGGCCCAACATTCCCAATTACAAACTTTCTTGCATCTAATTGGTAAAGTCTCTGCAATCAAAACAGAGCATTCAATAGCGTTGTCAGTTAAACCAAAAATCGCATAAATTTCGTCTATGAGTTTAAGATAATATTCGTGTTTACATACCGTAAGCTGTCCCCTTAGATGATTGAGCATATCATCCACAAAAGCATCCGGACTTTGTGAAATTCTTGCACCCACAGAAATTACCGGAAGAAGATAATTGTTGAGAAAATCGTTCGATCCTATAGTGACTGAGAAAATTGATTTTCTTTTAAGGTAATCTTTTGCTTTTGATGGGCCTAACAATTTATCAATCTGTTTCCTAGTGATATTGAAGTAATCAACCTGGATGTCCATTGATAACCTGTTCACCTGTTCAACACATATGTTTAGCACAAAAAATTAATTAACACATATACGATAATCACTCATAGTTATGGAGATACGTACAAATATTCTTCCAGTAGCATTCATGATTCCACCACCTCCAGAAGCATAATTAACCCCAGATAAAATAGTTCTTCCGGTCGTGTTTGGGGAAAGAAATGGCATCGCGTAGTGAGGTTGTCCCAACCCCTCTCCTGCGAGACAAATCGCAACTCTTTATCGCTTCGATTCGTTGGAAGTACAAAAGAAGCTAATAAACGGGATAGCTTAAGTGAAAACTTACCGATTATGTCTCCAATGGTTCTTCCATTTGTATACCGGCCGGTAGGATTTCCTCCCGAAGCCTTAAAATCAATACCATTTGGGGGGATATTAGCTCGCGACAACGTTTGTAAATAGTTGTTGTTTCCAGCATCAACTAAGGAATCTCCGAAAATAAACGAAGCCCCCTTTCCTAAATCCTCTTTAGTTTGACAAATTCCATAACTGCTCAAATTAATCACCAACACGACTAAAGCCAAAATGTAATATAACTTGATTTCCATGGCTTTCATTAAAATCTTGGATGTCTGGCTGGCTGGCTAATTAAGAGACAAATCCTGTAATGAAGCATATATAAATGTTTAGAACTGAAAAAAAAAAATGAAAAAGCCTTTGTTGGGAAATTTGTGAAGGCGTAATTAAGTGGAATTGCATTTTGGGTTTGACCGCTTAAATTTTAAAGGATTTGGTATAGGTGGATTTTCTGGGGTTAGGTGATCAACAATTAGTGCGTATGAGCATGGCTCAACGTGCATGCACCAATATCAATTACTTCTGATTCAAGCAAATTCCACCCCATTAAAGTCAAAGAGAGAGTATTACCAATCTTATGAAGTTGGAGCCTAAACTTAGAAGCTTCTGGTGAACACTTAGGTGTGAGTTGATAGTTTTTGGGGAAGTTTCAATTCTTGCATGAGACGCTGCTACCTATACCAGAATTGTTACATAAATTAGTAATTTCGGCAAACGATATGGAATTCTAAATTGATGGAATATTGCATCACGTATAGTAATTCTTTCCATACTTGAATTTCGGATTTGGGTCTCAGTTTCTTTGAATTTACCTCATTTTTTTATTTTATTTTTTTCTGTGGAATGACGGAAAGAGAAAGAGAACCTGATTTTACAGACTTGAAAGTATTGGCATAGAATTTTTAGGAAAACACTCCTCATTCAGGGCCACAAGGGCCCCGAATTTCAAGGGTGCCGATTTGGCGCTGCCTATTGGAAGGGGGGGGGGGTGGCTGTCCGCACCCTTGGTTCTGAATTTCTAGCGGGGCTCGAATTTTTGTTGGACAAGGTTTTACCGAACGAAAAGTTTGTTTGTTTTATCTATTTATTTAAGGGAGAATTGCAGCTGGATCTTAAACCTTTTAAATCTTTTAAAAATTATACCTAAACCTTCATTTTTGCAGATGAGGTCCCAAACCATTTACACTCGATAAGCTCAGATTTCGACACAAAACCAGGCACATACATCTTTGATCTCCCTAAACATCTTTAATGACTCGAGAAAAACCCATTTTGCATATAGCAATTAACACGGCATTCCAGGAAATGGTAACTCTATGAGGCATAGAATCGAACAGCTTGTACGCGCTCTTTGTGTCCGAAAACTTTGAATAAATGGAGATGAGGGAATTTGAGACGATGGATTCCGAATCAAACCCATCTATGACAACGTTGCAGTGTATTTGAAGGCCCAAAATTTGGTGGGTTTGAGAATGAGCACAGGCTATGATGATTGACGGAAGAATAAAGGTACTTGCAGACTTGCAGTTGCAGGGAAAGGGTGGACTTGTTCTTTGTACACTGCAAGGGCTTGGCCATGGAAACCTTTTGCTACCAAATGTTGAACTTTTGCGTTGGCCTCAAGAATTGATGATGTCGCGCTTGCAGCTGATAAGTTGTATCAATTGATGTATTCAGTGGCGGCGACAGCAATGGTTGAGGCGGATGGATCTAAGTTTTGGTTGAGTTTTTGGTACCTTTTCCGATGGCAAAAAAAAAGGGGTTGGCAGGGCGGGGCGCCCTGTCTTGGGGCATGGGGCAAGTTGGCGTGAGGATGCCCAGTCCCGTGAAGGGGAAAAAAAAAAGATTAAAAATAATTTTATTTCTTGACAATTCACCTATTAAAAATTTATTTTTAATTTATATTTTATTTTTTAATAATGATATAACTCGAAATTTTGAAAATATAAAAAAAATTAAACAAAGCAAAAAGTTGACCCTCCTCTGCTCACGCTCGCCCCGATGGTCCATCCATTTATCCTCCTATTGCAATCGAGGTAAAAGGTTTCGGATCTCAGCCTCAATTCTCCCTTTATATAAATGTCAAGGGGAAAATTATGCGTTAAACATTGTTCCCTTTTCAAGAAAGTAAGTTTTTTTTTTCTGTTAAAAATTTTATTTTTCGACGGCCGAAATTCATTTTTATGTTCTGCAAAAAGCAGATAAAAATCAGAGTTTACTTCTTTGAAAATGTTAGTAATTACATGAGCCCAACCCGAAATATGGGCTTGAGGCCCAATGCATGGACTACTAGTATTTTTGACCCATGAGGATACTTACAGCCCAGTCCATGTGAACCTCCCAACATTTGCCTCAACTTTCTTAGATTATTTTCGGCTCACTTTCATAAATTGTTCATAAACATTCAAATCACTTTTATTTATAAAAATTTTGAGGAATTCATAAATACTAGTCATTTATAATCTATTCATTTCTATTTATGCTCAAGATCTGCTCTGACAAATACATAGCAAAAATAATGATAAAAAAGGAGAGTTGTTTCGTGTAGGATATGTTTTATCAAGGACAGATCTAGGATTTAATTCAAGACTGGACTACAAAATTTTAAGCCGAACTACAACGAGAAATTTTTTTTACACGTAAAAAAACTATTTTTACAATAAAATAAAATAAAATTTGGGCCTTGGGGGCTCCGTCCGTCTCTGTGTTTTATAATGTGATTATCACGAGATGGCAACGTTTAAAATAAAATATAAATAGATAAACTAAATTCTTTTTTTTTTTTTTTTGGGCTCAAGATTTTAGTTACGAAAGTTAAAGTTTTAAGTTCAAATTTTAGTTATATGTAATTATAACAAATAAATTGATTCCAACTTCTCTTATATAACACATTTGATCTACACGTTAGAAGCATGTTAAAGACAATAAATTAGATTTTTGAATATAATTATTTGAAAGTTAACGAGAATACATGATCCAATGAATGACCAACATCTAGTTGGTCCTAGTCCTAAAAGAGCACTATCATTCAAAAGGATAAGACTTGGTGTCACTTTGAGAAAAGCATTATTACAATGGACAGGGACATTGATAGTTTGTTTTATGGGAAAAATTCATAATTAAGATATTAAGTATTATTTATTTCAAAATTAAGATTAAATATTTCAAATTTTAAAAATCAGATATTTATTAAAATTTATTTATAATTTAATTAATTAATTATATATTTTATTATTAATTAAATATATTAAGGTCACATATCTATACAATTTGATTACAAATTAAGATTTAGTTATTCACACATTATTTTTCGATTACAAATCAGAATCTTTATATGTCACAAATCATTTTATGATCACAATTCAAAACTTTTATATGTCATAATTTATTCATCAGTCACAAATAAAAAATTTATGAGTCATAATTTATTTATCATTACAAATCATCAATATTAACAATTTTTTAGGCCACACATTATTTTTTGGTCATAATTTATCTTATTGATCACAGATTAACCAATTTAATTATCACAATCAACTAAATAACTTGTGATCAACAACAACACTTGCAACCACCATCTCACCACTGCTTTCAGTAACACCACTACTACTGTCGTCGCCAAAACCACCATCACCTTAAACAAAATCAACCTATCGTAGAAAACACCACCACATCGCCACCCAAGTCCACCAATTCTACGATGATGTTGTTAATAGAGATGAATATCAGTTTGATGAAGAATCCAACGAATCCTATCACCACGAAACCTGTAGTTGTACAAATTGCCACCTTGGTGAATTTTGCCCATACCAAATTATAAATAAATAAATCCACAAATATATTATTAAATCGGATCATAAATCAATAATCTAAATAAATTTACGTCTTTGATTTAAGAAAAGAACTCAAATTGGAAACCCTAGATTTTCTGAAATATACCTTTACGATCTGGCTTGTGACATCTTTTGACGAGACGAATGATGTTCTTCGAGAATTCTCTCAATGGATTGAAAATTGAATCCAGTGCATCCATTTTTATTCATTTACCTACTTTTTCATTCTTATTGATTTACCTACTTCTAGAGAGACGGAGAGAATAATTTTAGGGTTTGAATGGGGTAGATAGGTATGGTATATGTGTATATTTAATTTATAATATTATTATTAATATTAAAGTATTTGGTTCTTGTGAACAATGTGTATTTGGCAAGCAAGTCAAGTTACCTTTCTTATCTAGAATTCATAAATCAAAACAAATACTTGACTATGTTTGCATGCTGATCTATGGGTCCTGCTTCTGTGTGTACCTTAAATAGTTTTAGATATTATCTTCTGATCATTGATGATTGTTTTAGGAAATCAAGGTTTTCTTACTAAAATCAAAAGATGAAACTTTCTCTCTTTTCAAATATTGAAAAACACAAATTGAAAACCAAACTGATCATAAGATACAAATTTCGAAGATTGACAATGGTTTGGAATTTTGCAAAGAGCATGGCATATTAAGACATAGAACAACCTACACATCTTAACAAAATGGCATAGCTGAAATAATGAATATAACATTATTAAACAATGTAATATGCATGCTTTTAAATTCTGGTTTACCTAAATTGTTTTTGGAATATGCTGTAAACACTGCTGCCGCATATCTTGTGAATAGAACCTCTATTAGTGCTTTAAATTTTGATGTTCCTAAATCTATCTAGTCTAAAAATTTCATAAACTATTCTCACTTGAAAGTGTGTGGCTATGCTACATATGCTCATCAAATATTGAAAAATTAGAACCTAGATTATTTAAATGTGTTTTCTTAGGTTATGTAGAAAATGTTAAAGGATATAGATTGTAGGTTCAAAATGAAAAAGGCTATAGGGTAATTGTTAGAAGAGACGTCATTTTTAATGCATCTATGCCATGTCTGGAAGGAAAAGAAATAACTTGACTGAAAAAGATATTCAAATCGAGGTGGAGTCACCTCAAAATGAAAGAGAAACTCCTGTTCCTAAAAATAATGAACTTGATTTTGATAAAAATGTTACTTTAACTGAAGATAAAAATAACCAAGAAACTGAATTTAATATTCAATCTAATCCTACAACCCTTCCTCTTGATGAATACCAACTTACAAGAAACAGGGAAAGAAGCCAGATAAAACCTCTAGCTATGTTTGGTTGTAATGATTTTGTCTCACAGTTTACTTATCAAGATCAATATGAAAATGAGCCTAACTCTTACGATGATGCTATTAAATGTAAAGATGCTAAAAACTAAAAGCTGCCGTGGAAGATGAGATGTATTCACTTCTTAAAAATGAAACTTGAGAATTAATAGAAAGACTTAAAGGACATAAACTAATTGATAGTAAGTGGATTTACAAGATAAAAGAATTTGAAGGGATAATAAAAGTATAAGGTATAAAGCTAGACTTGTAGATAAAGGGTTCACACAAAAGAAATGTGTTGACTATATTGAAATTTTCCCTGTAGTTAAGTATACCATTATTAGAGGCATGCTTGCCCTTGTTGTTCAATTTAAGTGAGAACTTGATCAATTAGATGTTAAAACTGCTTTTCTTTATGAGATTTAGAAGAAAAAAGATATATGAGGTAGCCTGTTGGTTTTGTTAAAGGCATTCTGAAAATGTTGTTTGTTTATTAAAGAAATCCCTTTATGAATTAAAAACAAGCCACAAGGTAATAGTACAAAAGGTTTGACACTTTTGTTTTAAGACATGGTTTTAAAAAAAAGCAATTATGATACTTGTCTCTACTACTACAAAGTAAAGGAGGTAAAAATTCTTTGTACTTAGTGCTTTATGTTGATGATTTGTTACTTGGTAGTTGTGACAAGTCTAAAATTGATGATATCCAACAAAAATTAAAATTTGAGTTTAATATGAAGGATCTTGGTTTTGCCAAAAAGATTTTTGACATGCAGATTCTTAGGAATAAGGAAAAAGATATGTTGTTTTTTAGTCAACATAATTATGTGGTCAAAATTTTGAAAAAAATTAATATGTTTGACTATGAACTTGTTACATTGCCACTTTTAAACTATTTTAAACTTTCATCCGAGTTATGTTCCAACGCCGATGAAGAATTTGCTAGAATGTCTAGAATTCCATAAGCAATTGTGATTGGATATGTTTTGTACTTAATGGTATGTACAAGACATGATCTTGCTCATAGTATTAGCATGCTTAGTAGATTCACGAGTAACCCCGGAGAAGGACATTGGAATATTTTAAAATGGCTTCTAAGATATTCGAAAATAACATTAGATTTTGGACTTGTGTTTAAAATGAATAAAGATGGGATTGTTGACCACTGACCTCCAGCCTCATATTTATTCCTCATGGGCCCCACTCCATATGACTACCAGTTCGGTCAAAAGAGTTCAGCTCGGCCTATTTACTATCGTAATCCCGAAACACAATGATTACAGATCTTTACCCCCCAGTCAAATCACCTAATCAATCAAATACACTTGGGGAGTGATGTCAGTACCGCCCAATCCCACCAATCAACATCATGATTCTCCTACTCTGGCAAGCTATCATTACCTGAGGGAATATTAAGATAACAACAACCGACCTCATTAACCAATCCAAGGAAAGATCGACAACGCGCTGTTCGAGTTTGACACTGTAGTTAATTTGATTGACATGACATAATCCTGGCCAAAGAAAAGGGGGTCTCCTATAAATAGAGGCCAAAATGGGCTAATTGGGGGAAAAAAGGTCTTCCACGAAGGAAGAAAAAAAGAATATCATTTTCCTTAAAGTTGGCTCAAGAATAATTCTTACAATTTTTTATGTCAGCAAGGATAACTTCAAAAGGTTTTACTGATTTAGATTTTGTAGGAGATAGAAACAATAAAAAAATCCACTTCAGCTTATTTCTTTACACTGTGTGGTGATAAGTGTATTTTTGCACACTTATTTAGGTCACAAACATGGCTGAATAACGAGCAAAATGATTGAATTATGACTTAATCTCATTACATTTGTGAATTGTAGGGAACAATGATGAAGATGGTGAAATTCAGGAGAAAAACGCGAAAAAAGACTAAAATGACGCAAAGTGAAAGTTCAGGGATCAAGGTGCAATTATCCAAAAGTTGACCCGATGAACAAATTGAGAAATTGATTAAGCCAATTTCCAATTGACGATATCTTGGGATGATAGAATGAAAAGAATGAAGAGAAGATGCTAAGAAGTGAAAGTGTCAAGTGGGAGGACCAAAATGCACATCTTCCATAGTTGGTAGCACTATGCAACCCCTCTATGCGGTCGCATAGAGGCATACCGAAGACAAAAAGGCAAAAAAAAAAAAATTACTCTATGCGACCGCATAGAGTTGCTCTATGCGGTCGCATAGAGCAATATTAGGGCAGAAACGCAGTTTCCTTTTTCCGTCGAAACTCTTATGGAAACAATATTTTTAGGGTCCTATATAAATAAAAGCTCGACCAGAAAGTAAGGGACGCCATTTTTACAAGTTTTTGAGAGATTTTGAAGGAGAAACAAGGAGAGAACAAGAAGAAAACATCGCGCCAAGTGAAGATTCGATTGAAGATTGATTCGGGTGATAACGTTTCTTCAAATATTTTTATGTTTTCTTCTTTTTAGCATGTTAGGCTAGATTTATCATTGTTAGGAGATCGATGAACCTTGTAATACTTCCTTTGATTGTTGATTTGGATTTTTGACGTATTTAAACGCAATTTTCGGATTTGATTGATTTATTACGTTTTTATTTTTATATGATTATTGTGCACGTAATTATATGATTGTGGTGACCTATTTTATGCATTCAAAAGAAGGAAAATAGGTTCGACATTGTATAAATCATCATAGGGTCCGATAGGGGATAGAAATATACCTCTATGCCTTGTGTGAATCATTGGATATTCATGAATTTATAATGCATTTCGGTATGTTAGTATTCGTCATAGAAATATAGTCGAATCATACATTGGGATCGGTTTGGCATTACTCGAGAGAGATTGCTAAATTAAAATAGGAATATTGATTCATCTTTTGTGGAATCGTGTCTCAAATTTGCATAATTGAAAATTGAATGGGTATTACTTGGGGATTCGCGATCCTAGAGCGTTAGTATATTCATTAATTCCATAAACTCGAGTTAAATTACATCCAACTTATTTTGCATTTATTATAATTTTTCATTCATACTTGCATCAAAGTTTACATTTTTTAGTTAAAGTGCAAAAAGACAATTTGGTTTTCGTGTTTCGGTTAAGGTCATAATAGCTTAAGTTGAACTAATTCAATCATTGTGGGATCGATACTTGGACTCATAGTCCATTTTACTACTTGTTAACGAACTGTACACTTGCGGTGGATTTTAAATCGGAACAAATAATTTCGCGAACAAGTTTTTGGCGCCGTTGTCGGGGATTGAAATTTAGTTTTAATTTTATTTTTTGTGACACTAATTTGAACTTATCTAGATTAGTAGTAGTTAGCTTACTAGGTTTAGTTTATTATCTACTTTAATTTAATTTTGTGTTAATTTTGCTATCTCAGGGCTTGTATGCAAGGAGCACCTGATTGAGACTTGGTTCCCGTAGATCCAGAGATTGAACGCATATTTCGTCACAGGCTAAGAGAAGTAAGAGCGACACAACAAATGGCTAATGAGCAAAATCGACCGGTAATTCCACTCAACGAAGGCATGGCAGTTGAAGATGACGGGAATACAGTACTTGGGGACTTCATGGCTCCGTTGGTGGTCCAAAGTCAATCTAGTATTGTGTATCCTCCATTTGGGCAACCGAACTTTCAGCTGAAAATAAATGTGATTCAACTATTTTAGAATGTGCATCAATACCACGGGATGGCTAGTAAAAATCCGCATACACGCATATCCCAATTTCTTGATATGTGCAAACACTTTAGGTACCAGGGTATCTCGAACGATGCTATAAGAATGTGGTTGTTTCCACATACCTTGCGGGATAAGGCACTTGAATGGCTGGATTCGCTTCCCGTCGCAAGTATCACC